GGGAAGGCCGTACAGGAAGAAGGAGAGACTTACAGCCCACCTGCAGGCTGAAGGGTCTATCCAGACACTAAGCCCCATGGAAATAGCTATTAAATGAGGACAAGCTCTCTGGAGAAAAAGACAGCCATGGGAATACATTTTGCAGCTAATGAAGCTTACCTCTCTAAGTGAATCATTTTGGTCTTGAACTCTTAAGCTCAAGTAATCCTCCCACCTCAGCCTCCCAAAGTGCTGGGATTATAGACGTGAACCACAGTGCTTGGCTTAGTGAATCATTTTGGAAAGAATTCCACTTTGTAAAGTCCTTTGATGTCTGTTGTCTCATTTGGATCCCACAACAACTACTCGAGATTTGGGTGTAACTCTTTTACTTGATATAAAATAAATCAATGTACATATTTTGGGGATAGAAGTGATATTTTGGTACATTCAGATAATGTGTAATGATTCAATCAGGGTAACTGGAATATCCACCACCTTCAACATCGATCTTTTCTTTATGCTGGGGATATTCTGATAATTTTTTTTTTTTTGGAGTCTCACTCTGTCGCCCAGGCTGGAGTGCAATGGCACGTTCATGGCCACCACAGCTTTGACCTGCTGTGCTCAGGCAATCCTTCCACCTCAGCCTTCCAAGTAGTTGGAACTACAGACGCGCACCTCCGTGCCTGGCTAATTTTGTTTTATTGTAGAGACGAGGTCTTGCCAAGTTGCCCAGGCTGACCTCGAGCCCCTCAGCTCAGGCAATCCTCTCACCTCGGCCTCCCAAAGTGCTGGGATTATCGGTATGAGCCACAGCTCCCAGCCCTTTTCTTTTTCTTTTTTCTTTTTTTTCAATTGTAGTCTCATTTGGTGGCCCAGGCTGGAGGGCAGTGACAGCCACCCCAGCATCGACTTGCTGGGCTCAGGCGATATTTCCGCCTCAGTCTTCCAAGCAGCTGGAACTACAGGTGTGCGCTACCACGTTCGGCTGATTTTTTGTTTTATTGTGAAGGCGAGTCTCATTAAGTTGCTGTTCTCAAACCTCTGAGCTCAGGCAATCCTCTCACCTTGGCCTCCCAAAGTGCTGGGATTACAGACTTGAGCCACTGTGCCCAGCTCCATTACTTTTCATGACTGAACAAGACTCCATTGTATGTATACACCACATTTTGTTTATCTATTATTCATCAGTTGAGGGACATTTCGTTTGTTTCCAATGCTATTATGAATAATGCTGCTGTGAATATTTGTGTACGAGTTTTTTTGTGGTCATATATTTTCACTTCTTTTGGGTCTATACTTAGTAATGGAATTGCTGGGTCCATGGTAAGTCTGCGTGTAACTCTTTGCCAGGCTGTTTTCCAAAATGGCTGCACCATTTTACATTCTTGCAGGCAGTGTAGGAGGCTCCCAACCCCCCACTTTCTCATCAACACTTGTGACTGTCTGTTTTACCTTGACAGAGATCGCTGGCAAGTCTATGGCACCAAAGCCTCCTCTCCCTGTTTGCAAGTGGCTGGGGAATCCAGGGTATCTGAGGTAGCTTTGTGGGCACAGGATGGGAATGAAGGCATCCATCAACCTCCAGAACCATTGGTACCTCCCCGGCAGCAAGGGGGCGTCTTGCCGGGGAGGCCACCTGCTCAGCCACGGCCCCGTGAGGGGCTCCATTAACTCTGGCCTTGGGAATGGCTTGTCTGGGCTGGCAGCCCTTTCTGGTCACAGGGGTCTATCTTCAAACAAGTGATAATTAAGTTTACGTGTGTTAGGGTCTCCTGCCAGGCCTGCGCTTGGAGAGCATTCCATCTTGGCTGGAGTTTTGGGTGTTCTCAAATGTTTCCATGACATACTCACGTATGGCCTGTGTCCACTCACAAGAGGCACTGTCTGTGGGGTTTCCTGTTCAACTTGCAGTTTCAGGTTTCTGGGGGCAACTCAGGATCTTGTCGCAGGCTTTATTTATTTATTCTAATTCCAAGGGGCTTTTCTGACTCACTCCAAAACTCACCACTGATATTAGGATATACAGCCTCGCTGTGGCTTGGTACCCGAACCTCTTCTGATAGTCAGTTCTCTTCCCACTGCTGACCTGAGCTCCCAGTAAGCCTCTCATGAGCTCCTACTCTCTGGCCCCTCCATTCAGAAACAAGGCCCCCTCCTCCACGGTCAGAGCACCTAGTATTCCAGGAGGCTCAGAGTCCTTTCTGCCTCCCTCTCTAAAGGAGAGAGAATCCCTGAGATCTGCTCTCCAATTGTTTCCCTTCCACTTTTAAAAAAGAAAGTGGTTTCCCCTCCCAACAGCTATTGTTAACCAAAACGTTCCTTGACATTTAAGCAAACTCACGTTTCATTCATTAACTCAACACTTTTTTTGCTAGCTGTAGGAAAATGTGCTAAAAATCATCCCGTTTAATGATCCATGGGTTGGTTTGATACATTGGGCTGCTTCCATGTCTTTGGAGGTCTCGCCAGGTGCTGTGCTAAGGGCTGGGGTATGGCACTGTACAAAAGTTGAGATCCCTGCCATTGTGGACTTTCCAGCCCATGAGGGGATAAGGAGAGAAGAAAAACAATCAACACACAGTCACACAAACATAGGAGTGCAAGTTGTGACAAGTTCCTGGAAGTAGGGAAGGTATTGTTTGTGAGGGGGAGGAGTCAGGGAAGCTGAGATCTAATAGGGATAAGAGTTAGCTTGGTGCAGAGTAAAAGAGAAGTGTCCCAGGGAGAGAGAAAGGCACATGTAAAGGCACTGGGGCAGGGCCTGACTCCTTCAAGGAATGCTGGTGAACTGGGATGCAATGAAAATGGGGGGAAATGGTACAAAGTGAAGCTGGCAAGGCAGCCAGGAGCCAAGCCATGCATGACTCCAAGGCCATGGGAGGTTTATTCCTAAGAGCAATAGGAAGTCATCCAAGGATGTTAATCAAGGGACGAACATGCTCAGATCGTCATCACCCAAAGGCCTCTCTGACAGGCATTTGGAGAAGGTATAGTGGGAGTTGAGCCTGGACTCAGGGAGAGCAGGCAGGTGGTGACGATAGTGGCCCCGGAGAAAGAGAGTGACAGCCCGTGTGAGCACGAGTCACTGAGCTTGCAAAGATAAAAATCTGAAAAGCAAGTTTCTGCAAGAGTTTCTATTCCATCCCAAGCTTACGCTAGAACTGAAACTTTAACCAAAACCAAAAGGAACAAACAAACAAAGACGTTGTTCTCCGTGGATTGAACTGTCCCAGGCTCCTTTCTTTGGCATTCCCACTACTGCTGCCACCACTGGGGATGACAGCTCCACCACCTAGCAGTTCCACAAGGCTCTCGGTATGCCAGACCCTGTTTATGTGCTCACTGCTGCCTTTGCTAGTCACTTCCATGGGATCCTCGGGGAGGGGACCAGGAGGCCATCTAGATGAAGGGCTGTCACAGTGAGTCGGCTCTGGCCAGCCTCAGGCCTTGTGTTCTCCCCTCTACTCAAGATCCAAGTTCCCATGAGAGGCAGGAGGGCCTCACAGGGGACACCCCCCCCCCCCCCGCTCCTGGCTGGCCTGGAGCAGGGCACCTGGCTGACCACCTTGCCAAGTGGGCAGGAGTCATCTGCAGAGATAATCAGGGGCTGCCACCAGAAAAGGGGGAGAGGCTAACATGTCAATACTGGTCCACCCACCTGATCTCCATCTCAGGGGGTGCCCCACTTTGCACCCACACTTGGTTCAGCACCCTAGGCGTTAAGTCCTGCCGATGTTTCCTGCTGCAGTTTCTGGAGTGTTTCCCATTCTGTTAGTCTTATGTGGGGGGTCTTCTAATTTCTTACCTGAATTGCTGGAAGCTGCTGCTTTCAGCCCAGAACTTTTTTTTTTTTTTTTTTTTTTTTGAGTTGGAGTCTCACTCTGTCATCCAGGCTGGAGTGCAGTGACACGCTCCCGGCCACCTCAGCCTCGACCTACTGGGATCTGGGGATCCTTCTGCCTCAGTCTTCCAAGTAACTGGAACTACAGGTACATGCTACCATGCCTGGCTAATTTTTTATTTATTGTGGAGACGAGGTCTCACCAAATTGCCCGTGCTGGTCTCCAACCCGCGGGCTCAGGCGATCCATTCACCTTGGCCTCCCGAAGTGCTGGGATTACATGCTGAGCCACCGAGCCCAGCCACCCGTCACATCTGAGCAGAGCCCTGTGGATGGATATACAGGCAAGGGTATTTCAGGTGGAGAGAGGAGAGAGAGCAGGAACACGGCCTCAGGGGCTTGTAGGCCATGGTGGAGACTTTGTGATTCCTCCGAGGGAAAATGGGGCACAAAGACACCCAAATGCTGAGTGAACAGCCTGCCGGTGGTGAGGGCTGCAGGAAGCACCTGATCGGAGAGTCTGTGGTAGCAGTGGAGGTGAGAAATGACCAGATGTATTGCCCCACGTACGCCTTCTCCCCACGGCACGGCACAGAGCGAGAGCCCAGCAGACATCTGTCCAACAGTGGAGGCAGGCGTATCAGGATTCCTTCCTTCCCTAGGGTCTGCAGGGTCCCAGGTGATCACCCAGAGGGAGCTTCCTCATTGGTGTTGGCCCTCTTCTCAGCTACTCAGCCAGAGGGCAGATCCACGTATCGGTGGGGGCTCCCCATGGAAAGCCCCCAGTCCGTGGCTCCCCAGAGCTGGGGTCTCTACCTCAGTGGGGCCTTGTGCACACAGGGGGACGTGAATGAACCAGCGCGGTGGTGACCCCGGGTTTCCGGAGGAGCTGCGCACACATTCATGGTGACTTGTGGCTCACCCGCTGCCGCCCTTATGTAACCTGGGAACTCAGAGAACAGCATCTGGTAATGGCACTTTGGAAATCTGGAAGAGTTCCACGCCAGGCTGAATCAATCAGCGGCCCCCACGCCCAGGGCAAACACAGAGACTCTTTTGAAGATTGGACGTGAGCCCTGCCCAAGCCTTCAGACACATTCTTGCATTTCAGAATAGAACAAAAGCAGACAACCCAGGACCTAATCCCCAAAACCCAGGCTGTAGGGAGCAGAGGTCTGGATGATGCTACACCCCACATTTGAATATTGTTTTTTTCTTGTCACGCAAACTTCCTGGGCAGGGACTCCAACGGCTGACTGGGCGGGAAGGAGGGTTCTTAAATACATCCCCTCTTGGCTTTTACTCATTCCAGGAGCTCCAGCTACTGGGAGAAGCAGTGTCAAAGGTAACCCTCTTCCCCTATTTCTTATTTCCTTTTCCTAGGAAGAGAGATCTAGGTGGAGCCTGCACTTCGGAGCAGGGGCCCTGAGGCCAAGAGTCCTCTCTCATCTGCAAGAGGGCTTGGCCCCTACACACAGGTGTATCATCTCCTGAGTGTCCTCCTGGTCAGTGCCCTGAAGGTTCAGAACCGGGTCTCTGGCAGCTCTGCCATCCCCAGCACCAGGAGGTCCTGGGGATCCGTGGAGCAGGGGGGACCAAAGTGGCCATTGGGTGAGAGGTCTTGATGTGATGTCAGACTCCTTCACTCACCCGGAGGGCAGCAGAGCCAAGTGACTCGAGGCGTGAGCTGCCAATAGAGGTGTGTGTGGGTTCAAACCCCCACGTGCCCCACGCCAACTGTGAGACCTAAGGCGAGATCATTCGATGTGTTTCCGTCTCATTTTCCTTGTCTGTGAACACACTCCTAACTGCTCCTTCTTCATGGGGGCCACTGCAGAGTTTTGGTGAGGATGGACGGGGATGCTGAGGGGAGGTCAGTCAGTGGAGCACGTCTGGGGGCAAAGTCAAAATCGGCGCAGGTGAGGGGAGTTAGACACAGGGATTCGGGCTGAGAGGAGGACTGACTCGGGGAGGGTCTCCCAGAGTGTGCTGACAGCAGTTCCTATGCAGGTACCAGGCACGATGTTAGATGCTTTGTCTTTGTTCGTCTCTGTCATAACTCTGAGCAGTAGCACTGTCGTTAGCCCCTTCCCACAGAGGAGGTCCGGGGAGGCTGTCCTTCCCAGAGACCAGAGTTCCGCGTGGTGACGCCAACTCTCACTCATATCAGGCTCTTCCTCCTGGGCTGCCTGCCTTGATGCAGGTCACCAAGGCTGCTGCCCTGGCTTGACCGTTTAAGGCTTGGGAGAGCAGCGAGACTTCCCTGCAGGACTGTGTGGCTGGAGTCGTGGACAAAAGAAGGGGCCTGGCCCACAGACCAGTGAGGTCAAGGGGTCCCAGTGAGGGGGCTCCCTTCAACCTCCTGTCAGATTCTAGGGAGGGGGTCGTGCATGGACCGGCTGGGGGATCCCTGGATGCCAGCAGTTCCCTCCTCTGCAGAATGGGGCTAGGGGTAAGCACCACGGGAACAGGAGAAGGATCAGAAGCCATTTGTTGGATTTCGAGCAGGATCATACATTCATATCTAATATAAATATATGCCCCATATAGAGGTTGTGAAAATGAAAATATCCTTATTTTTTTTCCTAATGTGTAAAGTTGTGCTATGTCTGCAAATGGGCTGAATATCTCCTGAAGAGCAGTTAGGAATTGGTAATCATGGTCACCCCGGTAGAGCAGAATCTGACAGCTGATGGGGAAAGAGGAGGGAGACTTACTTTCCTCTGTGGCCCCTTTTGTAGACTTTAAATTGTATACTGTGAGCTGTATTGCTTATCTAAAAATGTATCAAACACTTGAAAAACACAAGTCATACACTACAGAAGATGAAAGCAAAGATCCCCAATAATTCCACTCCCATCAAATATCATTATGTTGAGGGCTACTCCTCTGGTCTTTCCTTGCATATGCCAGCATACTTGTGCATGCGTGCGTGCGCATGCACACACGCGTGCACACACACACACACACACACACACACACACAGCCTAGTATACCTGTTGTTCTATAAGCTGTTTTCTTTCTTATCTCCACTTCCTGGAACACATCTGTTGCAGAGACAGCCATTAAAAACATGCCGAATAACATGCTATATCTTATTCCTAAATACTGCACGATAATCCATCACATGGAGGCAACAGAAGTCGTTTGAACTGTGTTCTCCTGAGGGATCCTCCAGGGTGTTTCCAATATTTCTCTGTTGTATACAAACTGTGATGACTTTCTTATTCAAGAATGTTTGAGAATACCGTAGCTACTATAAACTCCTGAACATAGAACTTCTGTGCCACAGACAAATATGCTTGAAAGGCTTTTGCTAGATATTGCTAAGTTAACCCTAGAAGAGCCATTCCAATTTCCCAGCTTGGTTTCCTACACGGGTAGCTGGAATCGCCTCTACACCTCTGCATGGAAATCTGAATCTCTGTGAAGCCTTGGCTGGCATCCGTCTGTGTCTCACAGGCGTGGCACACACTGGTTTAAACACTAAGCCTGGTTCAGCTCGCCCAAGTAATCAGTGCTTTTGAGAACAGTGGCTTAGTTAGAAAGGCTGTGCTGGGTTTTCTTGTATCGGCTTGGGTGTGGAATCAAGACCTGTGTTCCTCCTATCTAATCTGGAAAGTGGCTGGCTGAGTGTGCAGAGGTCTTGGCGGGTTTGCTTGGGAGTGTGTCACCAACTCTGCAAACAGGTGGAGGGGAGTGCTACGGAGAGAGGCCAGGAAGGGCCTGTCCCCAGCCCACAGCCAAGCGCCCACCATCAGCCATTAGGCTTAGGTTAGGCTGGGTTCCCGATGCATGTCATCAGCTCAGGGGTTGTCAAGACAGCCAGGAGGGCCCAGCCGTCTGAGTTAGGGAGCTGATGAGAAGGCCAGAGGCTGGAAGGAGACCTATCAGAGGGTTGTCATTTCCCCCAGGGGCCGAGCCTGGCACCCGGCAGATGGTCCCCTAGTGAAGGCGGGGCGGGGGGAACTGCGGGGCGAGCGAGTGTCCGGATGCCGGCGACAAGGCGGGAGCCAGGGCGCAGCTCTGGGACCCGGCTGTGGCCGTCCTCCTTCCCCGGCTGCAAGCCGCCCTCTGTCCCCAGGCACCATGAGCAAGATCGGCGACGTGGTGAAGCGCGCCCGGGCCTCCTTCAACTCGGGCAAGACCCGTCCGCTGCAGTTCCGGGTCCAGCAGCTGGAGGCGCTGCGGCGCCTGATCCAGGAGCGCGAGCAGGACATCGCGGGCGCGCTGGCCGCGGACCTGCACAAGGTGCTCGT